ATTATTTGATGAAAAAAATTCTCAATTAACTTGAATGAAAGCCAGGATATTTGCGATTGAAGGAGGTAGGGATCACCTGGTTTCAGCCGCAAAACGAGCAAGAAATTGGCCGTCAAAGTTTGATGACTTCCAAAGCTTGAGTGTCCTTGGAAATTGATAATTTACACCTTTTTATTTTTTTTATTATAATTTTTTTGTTGTTGTTGCTTTTTTTCAGAAATATATTAACTTAGAAATGTATTTTAAAGGGAGATAAAAGGTGTTGAGCCAAAAACAAAACAAAAAATGTGATAACAATTGCCAAACCTTCTGGAAAATGCCAGTGTCTACGATTTCATTCATTTGACGAGTGTCTAATTTTACCCCGGTGCCTCACAAATCAGCAACCCGAATTAATTTGCATTATAAATTTCATAGCCACTACCTCAGAATTACCGAGTTCTATCAGCTCAGTAGGCCTACCTTGTTATGAGAAATGTGAAGTTTTTTTTTGTTTTTTTTTAGTTTCACAACATATCTAGCCTTTTCGAATACAATTCTTTGAATATCTTGAGAGCGACTCCGAATAATAGTACGATTTTGGAAGAGCACATCGAGCTTGTGATTTCTGACCTCATGGTCTGGGTAATTAGAAATGTCAGATAGAACTTTGTAATTCTGAGGTAGCGATGTACGAGTATGCATGCTGTTGCCCGCCATTTAAAGTTTCTATAAAGAGAACACAATTGAGAAATCTGTACGAGTAATGAAGCTAGAGTCTATACAATATTTCTTTGAACAGACCAAACACATTGCACGTTGTTGAGGGCTAGGAGAGTATTACCGTATAACGATATAATATATAACATGCGAAATAATTCGGTTTATGTTCTCGCTTCTTTTAAAGACAGAGTAATGGGTGGTTGGCGGGTATGGTTTGCTCTTTCTTTCCTATCAGACATCATCAATCATCTTAATCTGCCGTCCTTCTTTTTTTGTGCTTGTTACTCTTTTGTAACACCTCCAATCTTCGGCACTTATATGTCCTTATTGTGTTGCAAGTGCCGTAAAACACTTACTAAAGCAAAAATCAGAGTAAAGACTTATTGAAGGCTCCTTGTATGTATTGTATGTACTGATTCTCTTCGCTTTCGGAGCCACAAGCCTATGACGCAAGCTGTGTATCACATGACAAAGCTTCTATTGTCACGTGTCCACCTTCGACCCGATCTGTACCGGTTTGTGAGGTGTAGTGGTCAGGCGCTTTGTTGTCGCATGCAGTAGTCCCGAGTTCGATTCCCGAGTGGGACTAAAGTTTTATCGAGTATCTCGGCCTTTCTTTCTTCTGGGATGTTGTAACCCTCTCAGCCCGGGTCTGTTTGCTGGGATGTTGTATCCCTCTCAGCCCGGGTCTTTCTGCTGGGATGATGTATCCCTTTCAGCCCAGGTCTGTCTGCTGGAATGTTGTATCCCTTTTAGCCCGGTTCTGTCAGCTGGGATGATGTATCCCTCTCAGCCCGGGTCTGTCTGCTGGGATGTTGTATCCCTCTCAGCCCGGGTCTGTCTGCTGGGATGTTGTATCCCTCTCAGCCCTGGTCTGTCTGCTGGAATGTTGTATCCCTCTCAGCCCGGGTTTGTCTGCTGGGATGTTGTATCCCTCTCAGCCCGGGTCTGTCTGCTGGGATGTCGTATCCCTTTTAGCCAGGGTCTGTCTGCTGGGATGTCGTATCCCTTTTAGCCCGGGTCTGTCTGCTGGGATGTTGTATCCCTCTTATCCTGGGCTGGTCTTGACATGCAGTGTCGAAAGCTTGCCTTCTGAATTATATAATTTGAGTCGATTTTTTATTGGGGGGGGGGGGGGGCGTAAAAACACCTACAGAAACAAAACAAAAACGAACCGGTTCTTCTCTTCCGACCAGTTCAGTTGTAGAATAAATGCGTACTGCATTGAAGGAACTTCCCTCTCGTAACTTCTGATCAATAAAATTTCAAATCTGTTGTAACCCCAAGCTAAAATATGATACTCATATTATAATACGTTCCATTTGAAGCGTGGATCCCCGTAACTATCGTTTATTTTGGATAATAAGATATATTTCAGACAGAATCTTTAACTCAATGTTCGAGAAATTCCATTATGATCGGAGGTCGAATTGAAATCGGAGATGGTTGGTTTTTTAGTTCCCTACCCTAGAATTACAAAGTCTTATCTGCTCAGTAGGCCTAATTTTGATACATTTGACGTAAAAATAAATAAATTAGGCTCTCAACATGTCAAGCTTTTCGAATTCAATTATTTGAATATCTTGACTACGGCTCCAAATAATCTTACCTTTTCGACCGAGCAGATATGGAGCATTTGGTTTCTAACCTCATGGTCTTCTTAATGACTCAAAACGGCCACAAATGCCAGATAGAACTTTGTAATTCTTGTAATTCTAAGGTTACAAGTTGTTAATGTTGCTATGCCGGCATTGTAATGGATACTTCGGAGCCTGCACTTTGCTCAAGGCCTGGACAATAAAAGCAAAGAAAAAGATATGATTGATAACGTCAGATGATTTATTGATGTCCACAAAGAGAACTTTGCTGCTGCGTGGTTTAATATATAATACACACACACACACACACACACACACACACACACACACACACACACACACACACACACACACACACACACACACACCGATAAACAGACACAAATTTAGTGGATGGATGGACATACATACATACATAATAATGTTCACCTCGCCCACCTGACAAAGATTGAATAGCTTATGCCTATTGATGACGACGTGCATGTTTGTACCTGCTGCTTCTTGCTTTTTTTGAAAGCATCGTGACAAATGACAGACTATATGTACTATTCTGCTGCCCTCCCCCCCCCCCCCCCCACCCCTAAATCACTTTTTCCCCTCGTTTTGTTTCTTTCATTAAAAGTGTCATGAAGCCTATTAAAGATCATCAGGTGCAGGCAGGGGATACCTATCAGATGTTAATTCGTCATTTCTTTTGAGAAAGGCACATCGGAGATACGAAAAAGATTCATTTTGCGCTCGGGTTGGGTTGCGATTGCTTTTGGTTAGCGCCTAATGAATGTAATTACATGTATAGCCTACAGCGCATTTCCGCTGGGGAAAATATTCAGCGAACTTTACAATAGTGATCATTTTAACCTCCTCCCCCACCAATCTCTCTCTCTCTCTCTCTCTCTCTCTCTCTCTCTCTCTCTCTCTCTCTCTCTCTCTCTCTCTCTCTCTCTCTCTCTCTCTCTCTCTCTAACTGAAAATTATAGTAATCCTTACTGAAAGGTCGTGAGTTCTAACCCTGTCAGGAGTTAGTTTGGGAAAGGCATTTATCACGATTTTTCCTCACTTCATCTAAATGTGCATGGGTATCTGATTACAGACTGCGAATGATCTTGTCAGTTTGTTAATGTGTGAGCCCTTAATTGGCATTGCACTGTTCGATTCTCGGCAAGCCAGAAGTTTTTCTGAGTGTTCTAGGATCTGCTGGGTACAAATATATATGTTGCTAAGCGCATTAAACGTGTTGTAGAGCGTGGATATGTGCTAACGTAACTTAAATGCAATTATCATTATCATTACTATTATTATTGTTATAGTTTTTATTAAAGTTATTATTGTTCTTTTTCTTCTTCTTCTTATTGTTGTTGTTGTTGTTGTTGTTGTTGACGTTGTTGACGTCGTCGTCGTCGTTGTTGTTGTTTTTGTTATCATTAATATTAGTGGTAATAGTAGTAGCAGTAGCAGCAACAACCTCAGCAGCAGCAGCAGCAGCAGCAGCATAACTAACAAGATGATTTACCTGTGTGTTGTATCCCCTACCAGGAACTAACCAGAAAGCAGTCATGGGATTTTGGCGACACTGACGTGGCCCCGAGCGCCTTCTTCTGGCCTCCCAAGATGGAGCCCGAGGAGTGTGAGATGACCGCCACGGTCAGCACGACCTTGACCGCTGTGCCTGACCACCAGAGGTACCTGACCCCCCGGTACGAGCGGGAGATGAGGAAGAAGCGTAGCCGTAGTCTGAGCAGTCTGCCCATCGGCCGTCGCAGCGAGATCGGCAGGGGGGATGGTGAGATATAGTCCATACAATAATAATAATGATAATAATAATAATGGTAGTATTAATAATCATTCTATTAATAATAATAAAATATAATACTAATACGTGTAATATTAATAATATAATAATTGTAGGTGCCTAGAAGTAATAATGATGATAATAATAATAATAATAATAATAATAATAATGATAATAATAATAATAATAATAGTAGCCTAAAAATAATAATATGTAATAATAATAATAATAATTATTATTATTTTTATTATTACTATTATTATTATTGTTATTATATAATATGTCGCGTTTACATAGCGCTTTACCCCGATTAAAGTACTCATAGGCTCTGATCTCGAGCGCTTTAAAAAAGGGAAATGACTTAAGCTGACATTTAAATGAGTTAAGGGATTTGGTCTTTCTTAAACTAACTGGGCTGTGGGCAAAGCATTTCATATCTTAGTAAACAAATGTTTGGGTTTAATTTTAACACCGCTGTCAACACTATTAGGTTATTTAAAAGTGGGATCTCTCTCTTAATTTAATGATTGTTTCCGAAATAAGAGTGAAATGGATTGAGAGCAAAATCGAGTTTAATTAAGTTTGCAATGGTTGATAGTCTTGACAACCTCACAAAAAACCCAGTGAAGATTGGGGTGGGGGTTGGGGAGGGGAGATTAAGGGGGAAGGAGATTTTTATTAAAAAAAGGGGGGGGGGGGTTGTTAGTTGCCACAAGAAGTCTACACAAATGGAAGAATATAGCTCTTGCTTCTGAATTAATTTTCAGTGCAGGTCTTTCTTGATGAATAACCCCAAATTTACAATTGTTTAAAAATCATTAATTGTATACAATGGGTCTTCTTCTGTTCTTTCCTTCAACAATGAACACATTTGCAAGAAGATTCAATCAGACATGAGAGAACGGTTTGGA